ATTGACGTCGAAGATCGGCATAGCGGTGAAGAGAGAAGGTTTTCGAAGATGCAGAATTGGAGGCATTATTTGATCAAGATTCGTGTCAAAATCAATAAGAATTGGCACGATCATTGGGAGTGACTCAACAAGCTATTTCAAAAGCCTCAAAGCCATGGGAATGATTCAGAAGCAAGGAAATTGGATGCCGTACGAATTGGAGCAGAGAGATGTTGAACGGCGTTTGTTTGCTTGTGAACAGCTGCTTGAAAGGCAAGGGATTTCTGCATCGCCTTGTGACTGGGAACGAAAATTGGGTTTATTACGATAACCCCAAGCGCAGAAAATCATGGCGAGTTCCCGGCCATGCTTCCACGTCGACGGCCAAACCGAATATTCACGGCTCCAAAGTCATGCTCTGTATTTGGTGGGACCAGCTCGGCGTAGTGTATTATGAGCTGTTAAAACCGACTGAAACAATCACAGGCGATCGGTATTGAACACAATTGATGCGTTTGAGCCAAGCATTGAAAGACAAACGACGCAATACAACGAGAGACACGATAAAGTGATTTTGCAGCATGACAATGCTCAACTCCATGTTGCGAAAGTGGTCAAGACATACTTGGAAACGTTGAAATGGGAAGTTCTACCCTACCCGCCATATTCTGCAGACGTTGCTTCTTCCGACTATCACTTGTTTCGATCAATGGCATACGGCTTGGCTGACCAGCACTTCCGGTCTTATGAAGAAGTAAAAAATTGGATCGATTAGTGGATCACCTCAAAAGATGACTAGTTTTTTCGACGCGAGATTCGTACGCTCCCCGAAAGATGGAAGAAAGTAGTGGCGATGGACAATACTTTGAATCATAAATGTATAACAAGTTTTTTACAATAAAGCCTCGAATTTCGGAAAAAAACGGCGGAAGCAAAGTAGTACACCTAATATATTGCCTTTTTTTTTCTTTTGCTCTTAATATTAAAAAGGAGATTATCAGAGAAAGGCTTATTGATATTTATTATAACTTGTATATATAGAGTTAGATTTGATTTTCCTATTTATATAATGATACAAATATTATTTTTAAAGGCTGGGGCCGTTTATCGTATTATAGGATGCTCCAGTGATATCGGGCTCATTTTCGTACACAAGTTCCACCATAATCCAATATTAAATTATCTATTATGTCAATTTCTGTAACCGCGTAGCTCTGGAGTTATGTCGTCAAGCTCAAAACTCAAAAAGAATTTTTGGCTTCGAAACGAGAAGAGCTATGGCTTTGAAAAAAGTAAAATACGTTAAGGAAAATAAAATACCACAAGAAGATTCAAGCAAGTATAATTTCATTTGATACGGACACTTATACGAAGTCCAAAAGAAACTTTTCAATTTTTGAAACGCGATTCTTTCTACTTCCTGTAGAGTCACTATCATATTTCATATGCAACATCACTACTCATGTATTACATTTATTTTAATGAAGATAATCTTGATTGTACAACATAGTTAAAAACGCAAAAAATTAAACAATTTTTTTTTAAAAGAAGCGAATTATATTTTGGGAAACATACATTTTTTATGTATCGTAAAACTGTTTCTAAATAATACATCTCATATTCTCGATATTCTGTACGCGCTCTCTATGACCGAAATCCGATCTTCGGTAAAAAACGATTATTAACAGAAAGATATTTTGGTACAGTCGTTCAAATAACATTAGTTTTATTGCATATGCATTAATTGATCTTGGGAATCAGTACGCAATAAACGAATTTCACAAGAATTCCTGTTTTTCAAAATCTAATTTATTGCAAACGAGCAATTAAAAAAATTGTACCGATTAAGTTGAAAGGAATAAACATAATAAAAAATTTTACCTAACTGATTTAATTAAAATTGCAGTTGGAAACCATGATGAAAAAAGAGGACAAAGCTCAATTATTGTCACTGTATGGATTTATCGTCGAAGCAATCTGGTCTTCATCAAAAACAGAAAAGCAATAGGTCTCAAATTTTTGACTGATATCTTGCAAACGTTAAATTTAATATAATATCACATGTGAACAGGATCCGATTGCTCTTAGCCCATTTGCGTATTCGCAAATATAACGCTATCTAAATATTTTTCCATCAAATATTACAGGACGAATCAATCTAATGACACAGCAACGTATTGAAAGAAAGGAAGAAAGAAGTTAAATTATGATAAAATATTACACGTAATGTTTTATACTATTAAGCATATTATGCTTTAAAAACAATATTTTATACTAATAGAGGTATGTGAAATACATTGATAAAATAATATCATAAGAAGGTTGATGAGACAAATTTTTGTTTAAACTTTTCCCTGTTTTTTAGAAAAAGTATATTTAAAGAACAGAAGTATATTTACGGAACAGAATATCAGAACGATTCTCAGTTACAATATCTGATGGTATGTTAAAAATGAAAATATGGGTACATTAAATATATAAAATAAAAATTGGTATTAAAATTATTTAACCAAGTAAGTAAATTTTAGAAGAAGAAAGTCAGTACTTTTCGATAAAATTTTTAAGTATAGCATTCCCTTCAATACTACGACTTGTGTCTGCATTGCGCGAGTGCTTGTATACTGCAAACGGAAGTTCAAAATGTAAAATTAAACGGAATTTTAAAATATAATTTATAACTGAATTTTTCAAAACTTAATTTAAATATTCATATAAAATAGAATTATTACTTTGATAACATTAATTAATTAATTAATATATATGCACCACCTTATTTATATAAGTTAATAGTATATATTTTTATGTAATTATATTTAATATCAACTATTTATTATTAACTTATTATATATATGTGTCGTACGGATGATAGCTGAATAGTTGACGTACAGTTTATAATATTCGCAAGGTACACATGTACACATTTTATTTGCTAATGGCTATTCAAAACTCGTTATTTCGCCAGTTATAAGATACATTGTCAACAAATCGTCAAGAATATTCAAGAACATATTCAAATCTATCAGTAGTGTCCTTCGGGCTATCATCAACTGAACATCTAAACTGAATTCGTGTACAGAATTATCATATTCGCTCAAATATCCAACATTATTTCTAAGTGAATATAACGATTAAAGTATTTGACAACTGTAAATTACATTAGTAAATCATGTATATAAGTCACCGCTTGTGCGTATTCGATAAATTATACACAGAAGATAATTATAATGAGTTTTTCAATCCGAATATCTGTCATGTCTGCAAGAAGCCAAGTCAAGACAAATTAATACCATGTGGTTCGTGCGACATGGTCTTTTATTGTTCCACGGAGCATCAAATAATGCATCAAAGCTCGCATATGGAAGTCTGTGCAGTTATTCCATTTGCAAGAACAGAAGACTTGGAATTGAACGCTCATCCTTTTAACTCAGATGATGAATGGAGGTCATTTCGAAAGACATTTATGCAAGGAATTCGAATGAAAATAACACGTGATCTAATGCCGTACGAGAAAGAGATGATAATGTGCGCAAAATCATGTCTCATTTGTCATCAACAGATTAGTCTGCAAACTTGCAGGACCTGCTTTTCCGCCAATTATTGTGACGTGCACCAATTGAATTTTGTAAAAAAACATAAGCCAATGTGCTTGAATTTATTGATACATCTGAATTTGAATATCTTACGTATAAATAATTTTATAAAATCGTATTCACATTATATAAAATTTTCCAAAATAAAAATAGATTTTGATAACATGTTTACATTTATTAATCAATACATTGTTAGCCAATATAAACTGTCGAAAATTTGGGATGCGAATTGTTACATATTGTCGAATTATATATCAGCGCCACTGACACTATATTACGGGTTAAAGGAATTCGCAAATTTATTTGAAGAAACACAGATTTATAGACATGAATATTTTGTTAACCGAAGTGGACTCTACGGAAGTTATCTCTTTATTGTACATATCATAAATGCGAGTTCAGCGGATGTAGCGGGCTTACCATTATGGGAGATTTTCTTACATATTTGCCATGAATTTAATTCGTTTAAGAAAATTAGGGAATTAAGAGTTATAGTGGTTCAACCAGAAACGGATTGTAACAGGAATGAATACTACAATGTTTGCAGCATTTGCGTTTTTGCAAACAGAAAACTATACCTTGGGAATGCACGTGTGTCATATGACGATTATATTCGCACACAATTATATAAGGAAGCAAATATCATAATTGCATTTCAAGCAGAATTTGATGCGGGGAGTGCACCGTTTGAAATTTTCCGCGCAACACAAGATCGTAAATGTCCGTTTTTTTTCACCACTGCGTCACAGAATGAAGCAGAAGAGGGCATAATGAAGTTACATGAAGTAATGAATGTTCCTAGAGAACATCGTTCTGTAGAAAATAAATTTCGTAGTTATAGACCTTTCAGAAATTACGGGACAGGTGAAATTTATTATCGTAATGCTTATTTAGTTGTGTCCTCATGAACTTAAATAATACAAGCGAGATATTTAGTTAATATATAACAGCGTTCGGAATTTTTTTCAGTTTGGGAACGGTTTCGAGGTTACATTTACTTACTATACTTCCCTTTTCCACTCTAACTAGTTCGCAGGGTCATAGGATTAATAATTGCATTGCTCTGCCTTAGGGCCATCACACACAAAATTACATAGACGCATATGCATAGCATAAGATCGCGATATTAATTATTAAGTCGCTATATTGATGACTGATGCTTAATTTTCGATGCTCATTGGTCTATACGATATTATGCTATGCATATGCGTCTAATTTTGTGTGTGATGGCCTTTATGGCCGTTTATATGAAGTTTATGTTGTACGAATAAAATTTTAATCAGCTGTTGATAAGTGCCTCACATATGTTACATTATCAATGATCCTAAGGCTTCGTTCTTCAGCCGAACTGAAACGGCAACGTGTACCTTAGCCCGACAAAAAATGAAGATCCGCTAATTTTCTCGTTAGTTTAATCTTCATTGTAATTTTATATTCTTATACTTGTATTCCTATACTTTGTTATGATTGTATTTGCAATGTAGTTATGATTGTATCCGCAATTTTTCAGCATTATTGTTTATTACTTGTAAATGTATTTGAGAGTATTCGAGTATAGCAAATCTTTCTTTGTTAATAAAATATACAGTCACTGTCAAATATATTGCCTTGAATTTCTTTTCCTTTGAAAATGCGTAACATATGTTATAGAAGTTTAGTCTCGGTTTAATGATTATTATACCATTAATGTGAAATAATTTTGTAATACCTTGCATAGGAGGCAAGATATACTATTTCAGAACTTTGAAGTTGCAATTTCTCAGGCAACTAATTATTATGATAGACTGAGCAAGCATGATAGAAGTCTTTTTGTATATGTGTTCATGTCCGCCTTGAAAGAAAATTTGTGTGTAACTGAATTTCAAAGCAAAATTTAAATATCCTTATAAGAAAAACAGAATTATTTTCTTGATAGCAATAATTAATTAATTAATATATACGCACCACATTGTTTATATAAATAAATATTACATATATTTGTGCAAGTATGTTTAACATTAGTTATTTTATTTTTCACTTAATATATATATGTGTTGCACGGATTATAGCTGAATATTTGCCGTATAGTTTATACGTATAATATTCCAGATCAACGCATGTAAATGTTGTACGTGCTAATGGCTGTACGAAACTGTTATTTCGCCAGTTACAATATATATTGTCAGTAAATCACAGAGTATTTGAAAATATACACGAATCTATTATTAGTGTCCTTCGGGTTATCATCAACTGAACATCTAAACTGAATTTGTGTACAGAATTGTCGTGTACAGAATTATTATCTTCGCTCAAATATTCAGCATTATTTCTAAATTAATATAACGATTAAAGTTACTATAAATTGTCAATTACATAAGTATATTATATCCGATATAACTTAACATCTGCGATTAGTTAGAGAATCATACACAGAAAATAATTATAATCAATGTTTTAAACCGAATATCTGCAATGTCTGTAAGAAGTCAAGTAGCCAAGACGAATTAATCCCATGTGATTCGTGGGGCATGGTGTTTTATTGTTGCAATGAGCATCAAATGATATATAAATGTTCGCATATGGAAGTCTGTATCATTATGGCAAACGCAAGAACAGATTGGGACGAACGCACGTTGTTTTAACTCAGATGAAGAATAGAGGTCGTCTCAAAAGTTATTTATGCAAGGAAGTCAGATGAAAATAGCACGTGATCTAAAGTCATACGAGGTAGAGATGATAATGTGCGCAAAATTATGACTTATTTGTTATCTACAGAGTAATCTACGAACTTGCAACATCTGCTATTCCGCCAATTATTGTGACAAACACTATTTGAAATTTCAAGAAAAACACAAATTTATGTGCACGGACTTACTGATATTGTTGAACTTGAATATCTCAGTTATTAACAACACTAACATAAAGTCATATCCACAAAAAATGAAGTTTCCCATAATGAAAATAGGTTTTGATGACATGTTTACATTTGTTAATATATACATTAAAAAATATAGAAAACAAAATTTAGAAGCTTGGGATGAGATGTCTTACATCTATTCGGATTATATGTTAGCTTCATTGACACTGTATGACGGGTTAATGCAATTCGATCATTTACTTGATGTAACAGAAATTTATAAAATGTAATGTAGGTTTACTAAACATTCAGCAAAATATCTCTTTATCGTACATATCATAGGTACGAGATCAGTAGATATAACGGGTATACTATCATGGGAGCTTTTCATACATATTCGCAATAAATATATAAATATGAAAATTAAAGTTAAGGAATTAAGAGTTTTATTGATAGAACCAGAAACAGATTGTGAGTGGAATGGATACTACAATCTTTGCAGCTGTTGCCGCCAATTAGATAAGAAGCTTCATCTTGAAAATGCATGTGTGTCATATGAAGATTATATGCGTACAAATTTGTATAAAGAAGCAAATATCGTTATCGCATTTCAAACAGAGTTTACTGTGGGGAGTGCTCTGTTAGATATTTTCATCTCAATACGAGATCGTAAATGTCCGATTTTTTTCACCACATTATCACAAAATAGAGCAGAAGAAATTATAAATAAGATAAAATGAGTTATGAGTATCCATTGAGGACATTATTCCTAAAAAAATAAATAAATAAAATAAATAAATAAAAAATAAATTCCGTAGTTACTGAGCGTACAGAAACTATGAGATTGGTGAAATTTATTATCGTAATGCTCATTTAGTTGTGTTCTCATGAATTTAAATAATACAAGCGAGACAACAAGAAATTTGGCTAATTTATAACAGCGTTCGAGGTAAACACTCCTAATATTATTTCTTTGTTGTACATATCATAGGTGCGAGTTCAGCAGATATAACGAGCTTACCATGATGGGAGATTTTCTTACATATTTTCAATCAATATAAATTTTCGCAAAATAAAATTTTGGAATTAAGATTTATATTGGTAATGCCAGAAACGATTTGTATCAGGAATGAATACTACGATGTTTGCCACAAATGCGTCGGATAAAAAAGGCGGCTATATTTTGGAAATGCAAGTGTGTCATACGAGGATTATGTAAGCACAAATTTATATAAGCAAGCAAATATTATTATTGCGTTTCAAGCAGAATTTATTTTGGGGAGTCCACTGTTAGACATTTTCATCAGAACACAAGATCGTACATGTCCGTTTTTTTTCACCACTGGGTCACAAAATAAAGCAGAAGAGAACATAAAGAAGATACAAGAAGTTATGAATGTTCCTAGAGAACAGCGTTCTGTAGAAAATAAATTTCGAAGTTGCAAACCGTACAGAAGCTACGATACTGGTGAAATTGATTATCCTAATGCCTATTTAGTTGTGCTCTTATGAATTTAAATAAAACAAGCGAGGAAACAAAAAATTTAGTTATTATATAACGGCGTTCAGAATTACTTTTAGTTAGAAAACGGTTTCGAGGCTACATTTACTTATTATACTTCCCTTTTCCACTCTAACTGTTTCGGAGGGTCACGGGATTAATAACTGTGTTGTTTAACTTTAGGGCCATTTTTATGAAATTTATGTTATACAAATAAAATTTTATTCCGCTATTGATAAGTGCCTCACAGGTTTTACAAAATCAACGGTAGTCAGGCTTGGATCTTCAGCCAAGATGAAACGGCAAAATGTACCTTAACCGAACAGAAAATCAAGATCCATTAATTTTTTCGTTAGTTAGATTTTTTTTTCATTGTGTTTTTATATACTTATACCTCTATTCCTATACTTGGATAGGATTGTTTTCGCAATTTAGTTATGATTGTATCCACAATATTTCAGCATTATTGTTTATTACATATAAATTTGAAAGAATTCGCGTATAAAATATCACTTTGTTGGTAAAATATACATTCACTGTCAAATATATTGTTTTTACTTTCTTTCCCTTTAAAAATACGTAACATATGTTATAGAGTTTTATTAATCGATTTAATGAATATTATGCATTTAATGTGAAATAATTTTGTAATTTCTTGCAGAGTAGCAAGAAATCCTATATTCCAGAACTTTGAAGTTGCAATTTATCAGACAACTAATTATTGTGACAGACGGAGCAAACATGATAGAGGTCTTTTTTTATATGCATTATTGTCCACCTCTCCCTGTTCGCCATATTCCTTTATAAATATAAATATTCCAATATAAATATATTTACTATATATTTGGTTTTGTAAAAGCCAAAATTCAAACTTGTAACACAATAACCAATAACGCGATGTAAAAAGAAATCACGTATAAAATTTGTATCTTGATTAGATTCCGGGATCTCCCCGCGAGACATTTTTATATTCAACCTGTATGCTTTTAATTGGGCTAAGTTTGCTTCTTCCGTTTAAATTGTCCAATTTCAATAATTATATGAATGAATATTATTTTAGTTATTCGAATATATAATATAATCTAAAAATATATCAAACACTGATAATTATTCATTTTAACGGAACAACCTCAGTGACCTTGATCTTGACATATGTCATAGACGTTACCCTTTTGAGTAACGCTCAAAAAGTTTTAGGCATCGATCGTTGTTTCTTAAAAAATTATTAACAAATGAAATTGCATAAAATAAATGTAATATTTGGACACCGTATATAAGAAATAACGAATTTGTAAGCTAGGAAGATGCTTGTTACACACACACATACATACACACTATTTGGACGTTCGTGCGCTCGCCCACCCGACGGGTGACAAGACTAGTGAAATTTATTATCGTAATGCTTCTTTAGTTGCGTTCTTATGAATTTAAATAAAACAAGCAAAACTACAAAAAATTTAGTTCATATATAACAGCTTTCGGAATTACCTTTAGTTTAGAATGTTTTCAAGGCTATATATACTTTCCTTTTCCACTTTAACTCGTCCGCAGGGCCGCGGGATTAACAATGGTATTACTCAGCCTTATATGGAGGTTATATGGAGTTTAA